CAGAGGGTCACTGCCATGGGTCAAGACCGATGCAAAGGCAGTTAACAACAACAACAAAATAACAACTGTAGACAAAATTTAAGTAAGCTTAGGATTTTTACATGTTTGGCATTGCAACTTTGAAAATGACATATAAATTTGCTATGATGAGTAATATAAATAAAATTAAAAAATTAAAAAAACCAAACAAACTACAGTGCCTTGAAGAATGCATGCACCCCAATTCTGGCATTTATTTTGAGTTCTCCTGGTTCGAACACAAGGATGCAGGGCAGAGAGGGGCTGAAAAAGAAGGAAGGGAAAGCACCCTCTTTGCTTGAGCGCATGGAATTTGGAAAAGAGAATATGAAATCGATGGCTCTGTATTTGTCAGCTCCCGCCTTCCACTCTGAAAGAGCACTGGACAGGGTCCTTTCATTTTGCTTTTTTGGCATTCAGAATGCAAAGTGTGGCCCATCAGCCTTGAGATGTGAAGGGCTCTCATGCGGATATTTGACTGCTTATCTCTGAGAGATGCACATAAGGAGAGGCAGGCCTGGAGTGCACTTTCCCCACACTTTCTGATGATTTTAAAAAATACTCCATTTTGCCTGCTTTGGACAATATCTGGTGTGCATTTGTATGTGTGTGCACTCAGATTCCAAACTCCAAAAAAGAATAGATTGCACTTCAAGATGGGCACTTGTCAATACACCATAAGGCTTGTTTTTCTAGGAGGTCTCTGATATCTCCCGTTTCTTTCTTTCTTTCTTTCTTTCTTTCTTTCTTTCTTTCTTTCTTTCTTTCTTTCTTTCTTTCTTTCTTTCTTTCTTTCTTTCATGGATTGTCAAGATAGAATGAAAGTTGCCTATGAGAGAAGCAAGGATTCGAATCCTGGTTTCCCAGTGTCCTTGGAGAACAGTCAAACCACTACTAGACCATGCTGGTTTTCTTAACATATAGTTTTCCTTGCCATTTCTTTTCCTAGCCATCACCGATCACAGCTTTTCTGCTGTTCTCTTCACTTTGCCACCCACCTGTGTCTTTCTACACAAATTGTTGACCAAGGTTATGAAACTTCCCTTCTTAAGATAAGCCATTTGAATCAAAGCCCCTTTTATTAGATCCAACCAGAGGCAGGGCCTGACATTTATACACCGTTGACACTTAAATAATAAAAAACACTTGCCCTTAAATACCATCCAGGCTTTGCCTTTCCTTGCACTCACTAGATCCCTTCTGGGCTTGCAAAAGGCTCTTTCAGTCCTTCATAGCATTGTCGCAGGTTATGGGGAAATACCCGGAGGGTAAGGATTGGGGCATTAATGCCAACCACATGGAAATGTGTGTGCAATTTCAAACCGGGCAGAAATTCCCATGGTAGATGGAGTCCACCTTTCCCTTCTTAGGACCTTATCAAACGCTGGCCACGAAGCGAAAAATAAGCGAAAAAT